CAAATGAAAACAATAACCAGGTCATAATGCCTAAACTTAACTACCCCACATACAACTGCCAATGTATTATATATTTAACAAGATCATAATTATGCCTAACATGATTTAACTATACCTTGTACAACCACAAACACAGCAACTCTTACAAACGAAAACATTTAATTGGGGCTGGCTTACAGTTTCAGAGGTTTAGTCCATTCTCATGATGGTGGGAAAAATGGCAGTATACAGGCACACATGGTGCTAGAGAAGGAGCTGTGGGTGCTACATCATGATCCACAGGCAGCAGAAGGAGACTGCCACACTAACCCTAGCTTAAGCATATGAGACCTCAGTGCCCACCTCCACAGTGACATACTTCCTTCAGCAAGGCCACAACTCCTAATAGTGCCACCCCCTATGGGCCAAGCACTCAGACACATGAGTCTATAGGGGCCATTCCTATTCAAACCACCACACCCAGCTTTGTTTTTTTTTTCTATTTATAAATAACTTTTCCTTTTCCTAGGATAGAACTCTAGAACTGCACTATACAGGAACTATGAATTCTCTGTCAATGTTCTTTATAAATTTGTCTTTTGGGAGGGGATAATTTTATTAATATTACCTTACATATTAGATATTGACCAGTGATAATTTTAATTGAAAGTATTTTCCTAAGTTTACTGTCTCTTAACTTCATATGATTTTTTTAAAAATAACTTTTTTAGGTAGCAACTCATAAAACTTTCCTCTTTGACATTTTCATTGTTTTTATATTCACAAAAATTTCTCTGTACCCAGAAGAGTTTTAAATATTTTCTTTTATAGATTCATTTTTATATTCAATTATTTAACCATCTCTCAATAACTCCTGTAAAATTGTGAGTAATTTTTGGTGCATTTTAAGAAAAAGATCAAAGTTTTTTATTCCATTTATTTTCCCAGATGATTGATAGTAAAGATATAGAAGCATCTAAAGCTATGGGATTGTAGATACGTTTCTTTCTGACTTGGAATTTATTTTACTTTGCATGTGTTCTATGATAAATATGCATAGGTTTTTAAATCTAAAAAGCAAATTTTTTAAAGAGAAGACACAACTTTGGGGAGTAGGGATGTAGGGTTTGATCTGGAAGAAAAGTGGAGGTAAATATAATCAAAATACAGTGTTTGTAATTCTCAAAAAACTGATTAAAAATAAGTAAAATTTTTAAAAGATAATACACATCCATCTTGGTATCTGTTATGGCAAATCTTAAATAGTCACTTCTGAAGTTATAGTGACATTTTCTGTTTACTTTTGAATTACTTTTAAGTGATTAAAAATTTTCTCTTTCATAATTTTCATATTATAAAATTAGAATTTAAATTTTTCTAGTAACTTTCTTCTTAAATTCTAAGGTAATAAAAATTGAATAAAGACCAAAAGATAGAGGCAAACAAATATAAAACTTTATAACTCTTTAGGATTTTATTATTCTAAAAAAGTTTTTCTTTCTGGGTTTTTTTTCCTCTTCAGGTAACTTTCAAAAACCAGGCTTCTCGCCCCTACTCCTTCTATTCTAGCCTTATTTCTTATAAGGAAGATCAGAGACAAGGAGAAGAACCTAGAAGAAACTTTGTTAAGCCTAATGAAACAAAAATTTATTTTTGGAAAGTACAACATCATATGGCACCCACAGAAGATGAGTTTGACTGCAAGGCCTGGGCTTATTTCTCTGATGTTGATCTTGTAAGTGGTTCTTTATTGGGATAGTCATATTCTCACTTAAAAGAAATGGCCTTTATTTTTTATGGATATGGGTGTTTTGCCTGTGTGCATATCTGTGCATCATGTGCATGTTTGGTGCTTCTGGAGGTCAGAAGGAAGCTTTAAAGTCCTTGGAACTGGAGTTAGAAATGGTTGTGAGCTGCCATGTGAGTGCTGGGAATAGAACCCAGATCTTCTGGAAGAACAGCCAGTGCTCTTAACCATTGAGCCATTTTCCAGCCTGGTTTTTATCTTCTATGCTAAGAATTTTGTTGTTTATCCTAAGCACAATGAGAAGTTTTAAAGTGAGGTAAGTGATGTCACTTTTCTGTGTTAGAAATATCACTCTGGAATCTATTGCAGAGAATAAATGGTATTTTGGCATACAAATTGATAAGAGAGAACTTACACTAATACAATTAATGTCCTCCTGGGAACTCTAGGAAAGAGATATGCACTCAGGATTGATTGGACCCCTTCTGATTTGCCACACGAACACACTGAATCCTGCTCATGGAAGACAAGTGTCAGTACAGGAATTTGCTCTGTTTTTTACTATCTTTGATGAGACCAAGAGCTGGTACTTCACTGAAAATGTGGAAAGGAACTGCAAGAAACCCTGCAATATCCAGATAGAAGACCCCACTTTGAAAAATAATTATCGCTTCCATGGTAACATAATCGATACATAAATATTGTTCTTTATGAAATATAGTGTGTACTTTTTCAAATGAGCTTTGAGCCAGAGATTTGAACAGTAATGAGAAGTGAAATCCTGATGGATATCAGGATTTTCTGTTGATAAAAAGGAAAGAAACTTCAGTGATACATTTTGATAATTTTCTCTTTGTTCTTCTCCAGCAATCAATGGTTATGTGATGGATACCCTACCAGGCTTAGTAATGGCTCAAGATCAAAAAATTCGTTGGTATCTTCTCAGCATGGGCAGCAATGAGAACATCCAATCTATTCATTTCAGTGGACATGTGTTCACTCTACGGAAAAAAGAGGAGTACAAAATGGCAGTGTACAACCTCTACCCAGGTGTGAGATAGTTTTTTTTCTACCTACTGTATGTATTGAATACTTACTTTAAATGGTCTTAGTACTGGTGATATAATCAATAACAAAGCAGAGAAGCTCCTTTCTGAAATCCCTTACTTTTTTTTTAAGATTTATTTATGTACTTTATGTATATGAGTGCTCTGTCTGCATGTATACCTGCACTCCAGAAGAGGGCATCAGATCCCATTATAGATGGTTGTGAGATGCCATGTGGTTGCTGGGAATTGAACTCAGGACCTCTGGAAGAGCAGCCAGTGAGCTTACGTGCTGAGCCATCTCTCCAGCCCAATCCCTTACTTTTTCAAGTAATTTTATCCTGTACAGAGAGAGAAATAAATTAGCAAAAGAACAAGATACTTTTAGGTATATAAAAACTACTAGAAATGAATAAGTACCATATAGTACTTTCCTAAGAATCTTTTATCATTTTCCCTTCAAATTCCAGTAGTTATCAAGACTGCTTTGTTTATGTATGTAACCAATATATTGGTGAGGCACTAATTAAAGTGTTGATCCATGGGGGTTCCTCAGCTATTGGTTCATAGTTGATGTGTTTCCACTAGTTTGGCTATTTGTCCCTGTGCTTTTTCCAATCATGGTCTCAACATCTCTCGCTCATACAATCCCTCCTCTCTCGCTGATTGGACTCCCAGAGCTCCACGTGGGGCCTGGCCATGGATCTCTGCATTCACTTCCATCAGTCATTGGATGAGAGTTCTATCACAACAGTTAGGGTGTTTGGCCATCCAATCACCAGAGTAGGTCAATTCGGGCTTTCTCTCGACCATTGCCAGTAGTCTATTGCGGAGGTATCTTTGTGGGTTTCTGGGGACCTCTCTAGCACTTTCTGGATCAGGTCCTCTGGATAAGTGAGACAGTCGATTAGCTTGAACTGTTTGGGAGGCCCCCAGGCAGTGGGACCAGGACCTGTCCTTAGTGTATGAGCTGGCTGTTTGGAGCCTGGGGCCTATGCAGGGACACTTTGCTCAGCCTGGGTGAAGGGAGGAGGGGACTGGACCTGCCTCAACTGAATCTACCAGGCTGAGCTGAATCCCCAGGGGAGTCCTTGCCCTGGAGGAGATGGGAATGGGGGGGTGGATTGGGGGGAGAGCAGGGGGTGGGAGGAGGGAGGACAGGGGAATCCGTGGCTGATATTTAAAATTAAATTAATTATAAATTTAAAATATATATAAAGAATTTAATGACATCACATTGAATACTAAAAAAAAATTAAAGTGTTGATCAAAACACAATTTTATTTTTAAACAGTATATTTGTGTGTGTCTGTGTATGTCTGTGTGTCTGTGTCTTTGTCTCTGTTGGTATGCACATATACATGCCTGGTGCCCACAAAGACCAGAAGAGGTCATCAGAACCCCTGGAACTGTAATTGCAGGTAGTTGTGGGCCACCTGACATAGTTAATGGATACCAAACTTAAGTCCTCTGCAAGAATACTAGCACTCTTAACCAATGAGCTATCTGTCCAGCTTCTCTCCTCCCTCCACCTTCCTACAACTTGAGATCCCTTTACCTAGTACCATGGATCCAAGATGATCTTACTGTGATTTCTCTTCCCCTTAAAGGTTACATATGGTCAATAGTAAAGACACCTATAGGATTTTTTTGATATAGAAATATAGGATATAGATATGATAGGATGAAAGGGTAGATTATTGAACCTACTTTTAAAGAGCAACAACTTGTTTAAAATGTTTTACATTGGTATAGATTTTAGTTTATTGATACAAATTTAAAGTTAATTTTGTTATGCTGTATGTATATTTCTACTCTTGTTTAAGGTATTATGTTTGTGCAGCTCATTTAAATTGTAATGGATAATTAAGAAATACAGATTAATAGTTAATCATCTATGACAGTCAAACTTACAGTCATGTTAGTTTAGTTTTCTAGGTATATATACATACATTTCAGATAGATAAGTAATCTTCAAACACTTCAAAGACCTACATAATATGGCATTTAAAATGTTTTAAAAACTTAGACTTTCTGGACAATAAGACACGTCTGCTCATGGCAGCACCGATTTACTTCAAAGAGAAAGATGGGTGTTCATGGGAGCACTTCACCAGCTGGTCCACATCTCCAAGGCCCCTCTCTGCAATCACAGGAATGGCTTCCCAATCTTGCATCCTGGCTGGAAAGTGCCTCCATTGGGATAAATGTCAACATGTCCTACTGGTTTCTGGATCCCAATACTTTAGCCAGGTGACCCTCTGGTGAATGTGTGTAAGACATCCACGAAATCTGCATCATCAGGAGAAAGGCGACTGGGGGCCTCTGCATACTCAAAGTTAGGCCTGGCTGGATCCGAGCCAGTGATTCTGTTAACCTTCTTGTTGGTCAGACTTCCTGCCACCCCAGCAGCATGGGCTCCGAGGCTATACCCCAACAGGTGGACATTGTCCAGGGGGTAGTTAAATTCTTCCTCCATCCAGTTGATGAACCTGGCCACATCGTTTCCCACCAGCTTGGTGTAGCCAGCAGACACTGGATAATGTTGCTGGGCCCGATATAGCCAGTCCACTACAATGACATTGGAGTCAGGTTCTCTCTTGCACAGGGTGGTCACAAGTTTGGGCACCCAACTCTCACACATTCCTGTCACGGTCCAGCCATAGATCACCACAAAGGTCTTGCTGCTGTGCTTGAAGTGGCAGTCAGACTCAGATTCTGCTACTCCAGGAATGAGGTGACAAGTGTCCTCAGCTGTGTCTTCAGGGGTCCTTAGGGCAAATTTACTTTCAATGTTTGCAAAATCTCTTCCCTCGACTGCTGCGGCCACCCCTCTGTGGAAGGCAGTCAAACTCTGAAGCCACACTCCCAGGGCCACCAGGAGCAGGACTTTGCTCTCCATCTCTTGGCGCATGCTTCTGCTGCAGGAAATGCAGGGTATGGGCTAGCAGGAGGGAGCGGATCCAAGTAGCAAGGGATTGAGCAGGAGGCCCCAGAGGGCTGGGGCACAGTAGAGCTCCACAGGGCAAGTCAGCCTTTAAAGGGGGAGGGCAGGGCAGCTGGAAGGGGCAGAATTCCTGGGAGAAGGAGGAGGAATCAAGTCTGACTGCCACTTCAAGCACAGCAGCAAGACCTTTGTGGTGATCTATGGCTGGACCGTGACAGGAATGTGTGAGAGTTGGGTGCCCAAACTTGTGACCACCCTGTGCAAGAGAGAACCTGACTCCAATGTCATTGTAGTGGACTGGCTATATCGGGCCCAGCAACATTATCCAGTGTCTGCTGGCTACACCAAGCTGGTGGGAAACGATGTGGCCAGGTTCATCAACTGGATGGAGGAAGAATTTAACTACCCCCTGGACAATGTCCACCTGTTGGGGTATAGCCTCGGAGCCCATGCTGCTGGGGTGGCAGGAAGTCTGACCAACAAGAAGGTTAACAGAATCACTGGCTCGGATCCAGCCAGGCCTAACTTTGAGTATGCAGAGGCCCCCCTGAAAGGTCGCCTTTCTCCTGATGATGCAGATTTCGTGGATGTCTTACACACATTCACCAGAGGGTCACCTGGCTAAAGTATTGGGATCCAGAAACCAGTAGGACATGTTGACATTTATCCCAATGGAGGCACTTTCCAGCCAGGATGCAAGATTGGGAAGCCATTCCTGTGATTGCAGAGAGGGGCCTTGGAGATGTGGACCAGCTGGTGAAGTGCTCCCATGAATTTTTCATAGCAAAAATGCACTTGAGATATCTGAGAATGATGGAACTGAATTTGGTAGCTTATTGTGATGACACATATTGTAAATAAGCCAATGTATTTCATACTCATTTTTAATGAAAAATAATTTTTGTTCCTTTTGATTTTAAAAGGAGTTTTTGAGACAGTGGAAATGCTACCATCCAGAGCTGGGATTTGGCGAGTAGAATGTCTTATTGGCAAGCACTTACAGGCTGGAATGAGCACTCTTTTTCTAGTGTACAACAAGTGTGAGTAACTGTGGGTAGAAGCTCACAAACTATTCCGTCTATTTCTATACAACTTTCCTCCTGCTTGAAGTGGTTGTCTTTATCAAGAAATAAATGCAAGCTTATATTATTATTAAATTTAAAATGAATGTTGCTGGTAGAAACCATCAGAGTCCTCAGAGGAAATAGAAGCTTTGGACCCTTTGAATATGAATCTGTGGTATTTAACAAACTGGTGGCTAAACAGTCTTCAATTTCACAGTAGTAGATTTGGGGACTTAATTTTAATTCAATTAACCAAAGATAACTTACAAACTTCACACGGAAGAGTTTGGGGATATAACTTTAAACAAGTAAGAGAACCACCACCTACCTAAATATTATAGTTTATCCTTGTTTTCATGGGTTCTGTGTCATTTCTAGCTTCTATGTTTGATTTCAGGGTGTCAGATTCCCCTGGGAATGGCTTCTGGAAGCATCAGGGATTTTCAGATTACAGCTTCAGGACACTATGGTAAATACTGTTATTCTTGCTATAAGAATCTAAGCTGATTTTTTTTCATTTCTGTTGGAGAGTTTCAAGTAACCAATCTACTTCCTTCCATGCTTTTCTCTCTTTTCTACATTATTTTAAAATTATATATATAATTTCCCTGCATATATACCTGTGCACCACTGGCATGCCTGGTGCCCGAAGAGGCCAGATAATGACATAGAATTCCCTGGAACTGGAGTTACAGGTGGTTGTGAGCTGCTTTGTGGGTGCTGGGAATTGAACCTGGCTCATCTGGAAGAGCAGCACATGCTCTTAACTGCTAAGTCATCTCTTAAGCCCCCTCCATGTTTTCCCTACTTCTGCTCAGTAGATTCCTCTCAAGTCTGTACCCTTTCCATTTCCCACTCTGACCATCTTAATTCAGGCACTTTCATTTCTTACCTGGGCAATGACATTAACTCCTGAAATACCCTCCCTACTGCTCCTATGGGTTCATTCTACTGTGCATAGTAGAAAGCTACACTTTCTTCTGAACAGCAGTAGTAAAGCTTGAATAGAGTCTATAGAAAATTCTCACACATTATTCTAGAATAAGAATTTACAGATCATTGTCTATAGGCCCATTAACTATTTTCATATGTGAGTTAAGAATAATATTTCATTTTTAGTGTATATTATCTAAAAGTATAGATTTCATTGTGACATTTTTGTTTTCCTATTTGAATATAATATGCTTTGATTCTAATCAGTGCCCTCTATTACCCTCTGATACTCCTCTTCCCACTTTCCAGTCAGCTTCCTCTTCCCAAATAGTTAACTTATCCATTTAAAAAATTTATTACCGTTATTTATGTATGTGTGTATGTGCACGCACATGTCTGTGTGCACATATAGAAGTCAGAACACAGTCTACATGAGTCTTTTCTCTCCTGATATGTAGATCAAATTCAAGTCATCAACCTTAATAGCAAACAATTTTACTCACTGAAGCATGTGGTGATATATTGTGTCCCCCAATATATTGTGCATCCTAATAAAGCTTATCTGAGGATCAGAGGAAAAAGCCAGCCACTATATTAAACATAGAAGTCAGGCAATGGTAGCACATGCCTTTAATCCTAGCATTCTACAGGCAGAGATCCATCTGGATCTCTGTGAGTTCAAGGCCTCACTAGAAACAGAGCCAGGTGTGGTGGCACACACCTTTAATCCCAGCACTTGAGATCTCATGTCTTTGCTTGGGAAGGATAAATGCCTTTATTCCCAGGACTTGAGATCTCGTGTCTTGCTTGGGAAAGACACATGCCTTTAATCCCAGGAAGTGATGGCAGAAAGGAGAAAGGCATATAAAGCATGAGGACCAGGAACTAGAGGCCTTTAGGCTTTTTAAGCTTTTAGGCTTTTTAGCAGCAGTTCAACTGAGATCCATTTGGATGAGGACTCAGAGGCTTCCAGTCTGAGGAAACAGGATTAGCTGAGGAGTTGGTGAGGTGAAGTTGGCTGTGGCTTGTTCTGTCTCTCTGATCTCTCAGCTATCACCCCAATATCTGGCTCTGGGTTTGTTATTAATAAGACTTTTTAAGATTTGTGTTACAGAGGCATCTCACTAGTCCATCTTTTTCATTTTTAAATGACTTTAAAAAAGTTTCATGACATGTTAAAATTATAAAATTCAAATTGAAGTATCCATTAAAAGATCTTATTTTGCAACACAGTCATACCCACTCATTTACATAGCATCTGTAACTACAATGGCAGTTGTGTAGCTAAAACAGAGACCATATAATCTGCCTTTCTTTTTTATTTCTTTAAGAAATTTTTTATTCATTTTACATACCAATCACAGATCCCCCTCTCATCCCTCCTCCTACTCCTCCCCCAGTCCTCTCCCACCTCGATCCACCCCTCATCCCCTCCTCCGAAAGGGAAAGGCATCCCATGGGGCATCAGCAAAGCCTGGTACATTCATTTGAGGCAGGACGAAGCCCCTCCCCACTGCATAAGGCTGAGCAAGGCATCCCACCATAGGGAATGGGCTCCAAAAAGCCAACTCATGCACCAGGGATAGATCCTGATCCCACTGCCAGGGGCCCCTCAAATAGACCATGTGGTGATATGTTATGTACCCCAATATATTGTGTACCCTAATAAACTTATCTGGGGATCAGAGGACAGAGCCAGCCACTAGATTAGACATAGAGGACAGACAGTGGTAGCACACACCCTTAATCCTATCACTTGGGAGGCAGAGATCTGTCTTGATCTCTGTGAGTTCAAGGCCACACTGGAAACAGAGCCAGGTCTACACATGCCTTTAAAGGCACATGCCTTTAATCCCAGCACTTGAGATCTCATGCCTTTGCTACCAAGTATTTGGGAAGGACACACTGCTGTGGATATTGTTCTGTATAAATAAAACACTGATTGGCCAGTGGCCAGGCAGGAAGTATAGGCAGGACAAGGAGAGAGGAGAATTCTGGGAAGTGGAAGACTGAGTCAGGGAGACACTGCCAGCCACTGCCATGACAAGCAGCATGTGATGGTGCCGGTAAGCCACAAGCCACGTGGCAAGGTATAGATTTATGGAAATGGATTAATTTAAGCTATAAGAACAGTTAGCAAGAAGCCTGCCATGGCCATACAGTTTGTAAGCAATATAAGTCTCTGTGTTTACTTGGTTGGGTCTGAGCGGCTGTGGGACTGGCGGGTGACAGAGATTTGTCCTGACTGTGGGCCAGGCAGGAAAACTCTAGCTACAACACACGCCTTTAATCCCAGCACTAGGAAGGAAGGAAGAGGGCAGGACACATAAAGGTATATAAGGTGTGAGTAAACAGGAAGTCTCTCTTGAGGCTGACCAGTTGGTAAGGTGACATTGGCTGTGGCTTGTTCTGTTTCTCTGATCTTTCACCTTTCATCCCAATATCTGGCTCCAGGTTTTTTTTTATTAATAAGACCATTTAGCAATTCATGTTACAAGACCAAGCCACACAACTGTCTCCTACATGCAGAGGGCCTCGTCCGATCCCCTGCAGGCTCCACAGTTGTTGGTCTATAGTTTTTGAGTTCCCATGAGCTTGGTTTAGTTGTCTTTGTAGATTTCTCCATCATGATCTTGACCCCCCTTGCTCATACAATCCATCCTCCCTCTCCTCAGCTGGACTCCAGGAGCTCAGCCTGGTGCTTTGCTGTGGATCCCTACATCTGCTTCCATCAGTTACTGAATGAAGGCTCTATGATGACAGTTAGGATATTCACCAATCTGATTACCAGGGTAGGCCAGCTCAGGCACCCTCTCCACTATTGCTAGTAGTCTAAGCTGAGGTCATCCTTGTGGATTCCTGGGAATTTCCCTAGCACCAGGTTTCTCCCTAAACCCATAATGTCTCCCTTTATCAAGGTATCTCTTTCATTGCTCTCCCTGTCTGTCCCTGTTCCAGCTTGACCATCCCATTCTCTCATGTTCTCATCCCTCCTCCTCTCCCCTCTATTGCACCCCCTCA